TCTCTTATCCACAAAACTCACATCTTTTTCATTCATGCCTTCATTTCTCACACATCTATATAACACTCAATTGGTGTCTAAACTTACCATAATTTAAGTGTTTAAATAACTAGATCTAATTGAGTGGTCAAAGGTGTATAAATCGGGCCATTTTTAACGTCCGACTCAAATGCTTGCGATTTGAAGTAATACTACATATAATTAGCATTGAATTCAGTAATACTCTGTCAGACAGTAATACATGTCTCACTCAATAGCCAAGCGTTCAGTCATTCACTCAATGCATTCAACACTCAAAGGACATGACGTACAGCACAGGGGAAGTGTCCCATCACTACAGGTCTACGCCTGTCGATGACTCTACTCTATCGCACTCCCGGTCTCAGCCTAAGCATCCCTTTCATCCCTTACATCCCACACACACTAAACATGCAATAACTTATCTTATCGTCTATAATCTAATTGCCCACTACTTGAGACAATTAATTGATCCGATGTGGACAAAACCCAAAACTCAGCATGCTCATTGTATTCATTCTCCCCCATAACTAAAGTTTCATCACACGTACAAAACCTTTTAGATGTCCAATTTTTGTGACTTTTATAATTGCTATTAGAGTAGTATTAATTGCTTTTTAAAAGTAATTTATATTAAGTTTTAATTAAATTATAAATAGTTTGTAAAACAAATATATTTGTATTGAAATTAATTGATATTAATGTATGAGAAATAATTCAATTCATTAAAGTATTGAATACTGTTTGACATTTCGGCGTCCAATATAATGCATAGCCGTCAACACCTCTATCGTTAAAAAATTGCAATTTGTTTGAAAAGTGATAAAAAATTATTCACTGATTTTGAGAGACATTGCAATCATTTATTGATTAAATAATAATATTATTAATAATATATAAATTGATATATCGTTGACACGAGTGAAGAGCCAAAGACACGATGAACGGGACTGAAGTGCAGATGAAACTAACGGAGATGTGTTCGCTCTTATATCCCAACCACTGCTGCGATGAAGTGATCGGTCACTTCTTGGTGTCGAAGCCGTGTCTGACCACAATAGTGTCCAAAACTCTTGGATACGGCATAATCATGGGCTCAACGCTCGTGAAGATGCCTCAGTTGCTGAAGATATGGGGCGCCGGTAGTGGTGAGGGAATCAGTTTCGCTGGCGTTGTCCTCGAACTCATTGCGATGACCTTTTCGGCCGCCTATGCCTTCGCCAATCACTTCCCGTTCAGCGCTTGGGGTGAATGTCTCTTCTTAATGCTGGTCACGGCTCTCATCGCATCCCTGGTCCTCAACTATCAACGCAACCAACTCTCGGCCCTCGCATTCATCGTCTCTTACGTGACGCTAACCTATGTTTTGATGAGTGGTTTGACTCCGATGTCGGTGTTGTGGTCACTGCAAGCCGTGAACCTTCCGCTCGCGATTTCCGGGAAGATGTTTCAGGCGTTCGTTAATCTGCGGAACGGAAACACCGGACAGTTGTCTGCCATCACAGCTGTACTCATATTTTTGGGCGCTTTTGCCCGTATATTCACATCACTTCAAGAAACCGGTGATCTTCTGGTTGTGTGGACTTTTACGGCCGCCTCTGTCGCCAACTTTGTACTATTGGCCCAAATCTTCTACTATTGGGAACAAACCAATCAATACCTCAACGCTTTGCAGAAGAAGAAAAAGAAGTAGTCTTTTCAGACATTGTATACAAAATTGTTATTAAATTTTTATTTTCC